GGATCCTAAGCCATTTGATCAGAATAGCATTTTACTCTGAAGGATTCAGTTTTCTGTTCCATCCCACACACAAGGGAGCATTTTACTCTGAAAGATAGGACAAGCTAAAGAGCAATTTGCATTATTATTAATCTTTGGTTCATCGGTTGCACTAATTTCCAGCGAAGAAAAGAGACAACAACAAGGCCCTTTAGCCTGAACCATTTTGAAATGTCAATTATTAATGCTATCAAAGTTGAGCACTGATTTCTCAGCTTCAAAAATTTCACAGAAAATGAAAAATGTGCATCTAGAGTAGCCGCAATTGTAATCACGCAAATGATGACAGAAGCTTACACATCCTTGGAAAACATTTTATCAGAAGTTTTTCTTAGACATGGTAGCCTGTGAAAGTAAATCCCCTTCCTACAATCTCACCAGCGCAGAACCACGCAAAGCACTCCAGCCCAAACAAAGTAGCAATGCCAGCATCTTCAACTTTCAGTTCTCCCCGGTTTCTCCACAAACCCTTGACATAATCTAACTCCTTCCAGAATGACTCATAACGACCAGGGATACTGCAAAATGTAGAATGAGTTAAGTGACAATGAGGTGTCACATAATATGGTTTAAAACTAGTATTTGATTTTAGCTTGGAATGGATAACTGCTGCGATAACTATGAAACAAATTGTTTTTTGTTATGAAGTATATAACTTCCGGTAAAAAGAAATATTTAATAAGGAATGCAGATATTATTCATTTTTCCAAAAGGAACTTATGAAGATAGAGGATATAAAAAAAACATTATACTGGTTATTATGGCACTTAGTAAAACAAAATATAAATAGTGTAAGTATTGGTCATCTACCATGCATCTCATATTGAGAAACAGTCATATTGTTTTCCTGCTCTCTTCTCCTCAAATCTCAATGGTTCTACTCAGTCAATTCAAGCACATAGTCCTCAAGCACTAAATAATAATGATTTTGAAAGACCTATTGCTTGGGCAATCTCAAAATAAAGTAGAAAAAGATATTTAAGAACCAAACTCACAATCTCTCAAACTAAACCATATATCAGTGGTGCATCTCATATTTTTCCTAACAATGATGTATCTTGTTACCTTCCCTCTCACTGCCCAACCTTTTCTTTTGAGGCAAGTGGTAACAAAATAGAGTGGCAAAACCCTCAAATCCACCCTTAAAAAATATTGGTAGGGACAAATCCACCCCTCAAAAAAATGAAGGGACAAATTGCCCTTCCAAATCATAAATCAATACAAATCACCTCTTTTTTAACGAAAAACGTCAGAATTCTGTTTACCACGTCAGCATTTTTTCACGGAAAATGTTAAAAAAGGGGTGATTTGTATTGATTTATGATTTGGGAGAGGAATTTGTCTCTTTCATTTTTTTGAGGGGTGGGTGTGTCCCTGCCGATATTTTTTAAGGGTGGATTTGAGGGTTCTGCCAAATAGAGTCTACTTTGCCGAACAATGACCATACTTTAAAAGGACTCAAAGACTATGAGGCATGAAAGTTTAGATGGACATCATTGAATTTTTACTCAGGCAATATCAGGTTCACGTGTAAATCTAATGCAAACATCTACACACAGTTTAGCTGGGAATTGCTTGCTCTAGAACTCATTTTTCTAGAACATGCTTCCCTAAAAACACACACAAAGAAAAACAAACAGCCTCTAGCGTGCATCATACAATGAAAGTGACAGTTCAAATTAAAAAGCTCTGAGTATTAGTTTTGGTATCATGCAATCCACAGGTTCAACAAAAAATCTACAAGCAAGAGGAATGAAATAATGGTAAAGCAATAAGACATTTAAATAGCCACAAACATCGACATTGTCAAAAACACATAAACCACGTATTGGTGAAGTCATCAGGTTGAGAATTGAATATGCATGGTTTCTGAAGTAAACAAAATGATTAACGTAAACCATTGACAATAAAAAAAATTAAAAAATGCCCATAAAATCAAACATTTCACAAGCAAAACTCAGATCCAAAGCATAAAGCATAATTGCATCAAACAAGTTAGAAACCTATACCCACTGAACAACTTACCCAATTAAAATACAGAACATTTAATATTTCATTAGAAATACTATTCTAATTGAAACGGGAAATAGTTAGAATACTGAGGTACAGTATTCTCAATCCACAGACATTAGACAAGGGAAAGGTATGATCAAAAGCCAAGAAACCAAGAGTGCTAAAAGACTGACCTAGCAAGACGAGTGTAGAACAATTGCTTAGACAACTCATTGCATTTCTCCACAGTGGGCGGCTCTTGAATGTATTGCTTGTTCTGCTCTAACAACTGCTTGTAGTAGGCAGTTCCATGCTTGGACACAAATTTAGACGCTTGACAAGCCTTGGATTGCAATTGCTGCAACTTCGACGCCATCAACTTCCCAACAGCAGAGACAACACAAAACCAACATTAATACCATTTTCCTTAGCTACAGAATGCATTGTCCTGAAAAACAAAACGCAAATAGAACTTCCAAAAGACCAAGACCGAAAACATTGACTGTGCACAAACAGGAACGGAAAAAACACAACTTTGAAATTTCCTAACCATTTGCAAAAATCAATTCCTCCAAAGCACACAACCGCTCAAGCTAAGCTAGTCTATGCAGATCAAACCATTCAGCACAATAAAAAAAAGGCCATAAATTAAAAAAAAAAAATTAAAAATCAGTTAATTGATGCACTAAATTAGCAATCAGAAAGCCATCATTAGAACTAGAAGAGGAATTCCAGAGATAAATCAATCTCAAAACAGTAGATCTAAGAGAGAACGGAAATTGTAGAATCCGAAGAAGTTCAATTAAATGCTTATCGCCAGAAATTGCAGATCCAAGAAGAGAAAGTGAAATCCTACCTCAGATGAGAGAAAACGGAAGGGAAAGCGCTGCCGGAGGAGACACGAAGAAGAAAGGTCTTAGCTTCTCACGGCGCCGAAACAAGACTAGAGGAGCAGAAAACTCAGCAGGTATTTCGATTTGGTTTTAGTGTGGGTACCGATAGGAATTTT